ATTGATAAGTTTCCGGCCTAACCAAGAGATGACGCCACTAGGCCTACCTTGAGGTGACATTCTATAGTACCATCCTTGGATAGCTTGTAGCTATAGTTTCAGCCCGATCTCCTTGCTAGTGTAGGTTTGACAGCACGCTGAACAAGACGCCTCTGTGGTTTTGATAGCTATTAGCTCTATACGAGTAAACTAAATTAAATAATAATAATTATTATTGTAATTAATTGTCTATATGTATTGGAACGGTTTAGCATGTTTGTGGAAACCCCAAGTGTATTTACATACTTGCACACAAAGATACAAATACGCGTACGCTTTTTCTTGTTGACTGCTGGTGCTACTGTCGGGTTTAAGGACGAAGAAATACTACTTGTTGTATACATGTGTATACTTAGGATAAAATGGTGAACTTAACATTCTCTTCTTTAGTGTCTTGTGTTGGTCGCAGTGGTTAGCAAGGTGCTGCAAGGATCACTGGGAACCATTTAGGGACCAACATGTACCCCAACGGAATTAATTGTTAATTTACACAGCAAATTAAATAATAAATAAGAACAAAAAAATAAAATACAATTGTGATATTCAGTGGGGCAAAAATTAATTTTCATTTCTTGTTTGTTGATACATTTGGTTTGAAGTGAAGTGATCGATTTTTGGAAACAGATTCCCAAGAAAAAGGCTTATATTGGTCAAAAAAATCATAGGGTGAGTTTTCTTCATGTATTGTAATCATTGCTAATGTAATAACAACAATTACTCATTAAATTTGAATTGACCAAAGAAAGGGAGATAAAGAGAAGGTACTTAATACCGTATTTATGTATTTTTTTGTTCTATTTAATGGACACTGTCAGTTAATAAATAAATAAGCGACTAAGACTGTTTTGAAATTAACTGTTTTCATATTTTTAACTGAATCTCAATCTAATCAAGTTTCATGTTTTACGAATCATAATTTTAGAAGCTAAGGGATTCCTTTTTCATATTATCCTGAATTAAATTAATTAAAATTAATTGTAGTTAGAATCATGGATTTTCACAAAAACTAATTTGGTTTCCTTTATGACGACAGTTGCGGATAAACAATGATCTTTTAGCCAATAAAAGCAAATCGTTGAGCAATTAACAAAACCATTATTAATGTTACAAGTAAGTAACATATGTGTTATAAATTTAATTGTCAATTATTGAAGTTGAAGGTTAATATGCTAAGAGGAAATAAACACACTTGCTTAATTGTTAGGAACCAATTTTTAAGTACTTAAATCAATATTACCTTCTTTTTGTTTAAACAATTTACTGGACATTAAAAAAATGTTTTATTGCTTCATATGTTACTTATAATACTGACCATAATACATTATTGACAATTGTCTTTATGTTGTCGCACAATTAATTGTACAAATCGTAAATAGGTGACTACTGCCTGGATACAATAAACAAACAAGGTTTTATGGTCGAAAACCATTTTTTTTTTCAATTTTACATAAAAACGATGGAATAAAAATAAGATTTTGTTACTGAAAGCACAAATAATACAATCAATGTATTGATTTTAACACTGATTACCAACAAAACATTTCAATTAAGTGATGATTTATTTTCATTGTAACCAAGGATAATTAAAGGAAGATAAGGCAAAGTTCAAGGCAAACAGCGAGAAGAATTCTCTTTTACATCTTCAATTGTTTTGCTTTCAAAACAATTGCATTCGTTATGGCTTTCAAAGACTTTTTTATCTTTATATTTTTGCATTGTTCGTATTTTTAACGTATTTTCTGATGTAAATAGCTTTTTTGCTATATAGTCGCGTGAGTAGGGAGACCAAATGTTTACAAAAGTAATTGAAGTAATACATGACGTATGCTTCCTTAAGTGATTTTTGAATAGGAAGGTCAGTTATCAAAGAATAAATAAATGTTTCCTTTTTGCAGTTAGAATAGGGACGCGATTTCAAGCATTTCCACAGTAATTTCAGAAATAATTACACTTTCCAGATACATATGCACATTGCGTTTACACATGAGTGGCTAACTTAATGTTTACAATAAAAAGGAAAACAACAGGATGACAGCAACAATTATTTTTCTAGGTCAGTTTATTTCTGTTGTAAGATAAACAACTTCAATAACGAATGCAAAAGGTTTGAACGAAAATTACCCCTTCGCGGATATTTTATTTCAAGGAGGGTGCCTAAATTAGGAACCCAGAACCCAATTAGTTTTAAAACTTATTATTATTATAATAAAATAAATATTTTTGTATACATTTCATGCTTTCCTAGGAGGATTATTACTAAATACTGTTCTTATCACACAAAAGCATTGAATGAAAACAGTATCGAAAATTGGGCGATTATTTTCTTTGACGAATTTTCTACTTTTTCATTTAAATTTAATTCTCTTATTTTAATTTAAATAAACAATTCAAACATCGGCAAGTAAATTTTGGTTATTAACGCATAAAAAATAAATTAAATTAATTTGTCATACTTCATGGGCTCGTTTTAATCAAGCCTATATATATGTACTTACGTCTAATTAGTTTTTAATGTCTTTTTATTTCTTTATTGAAATATGTTTTACATCAATTTATTTCTAATCATAATGGTGTTGCAATTAGTAATGTGTTAATTTACACTTTATTTGTTATCTTGCCGACTACATATAATTAGGTAGTCGAAATTAATTAGTTCTCACTTAAAGTCTTCTTTGTTTCTGTTGATACAAGAACGTATACATCAAACTACTTAACAAAATTAAAATTTACATTGGACAGGCGTGACGCAGTCACAGTAAAGTAAAGGCATTAGTAAAAATGTTACTGATTTTGATGTATATTGTTTAAAACATAACCACAACATGGATCCA